GTCCTCCTCTGCCTCACTGTCCTGGTACAGGCATGGATGGTTGGGGGTGATGGTGTGGCTGGTTCAAATCCTGTCCCCAGCATACTGGTCATACCTGGCTCACGGACACTCATGAGACACATGGGATGAGCTACAGTAAGTACCCAGGCCTCCAGGTCAAGCGTTGGGTCCTGCCCACACTCATCCAGGCAGTGTCCCCCAGGGTCTCAAATTTGGAAAGATGGGCAGGCCCCAAAGTCAGAGGGTGGATGGACTGTGTCCAACTCCTCATACCACCCTTGTGGCAATGGAGTTTTGGATCCTGAGGAGTAAAGAGTGATCCCAGGGAGGAGGGACCCTAGGGCGTGTCACGGGCAGAGTTACAGCAGGCCCTAGGAGAAGGGACTGGGTGAGAATGTGCTTTGGGTGACCCCTGAGCAGGTCAATGCAAGTGTGGTCATGGGAGGGGGAGGGGCTGTGCTAAAGGGGGTGGGGGTGAAGGGGGCAGGAAGAGGTGGGGAGGGATGGGAGTGCTGCTTGTAATGTAAATCTGTATCTTAAATCATATATGACTGTAATGCCATTTCCAGAAATCCTGGTGGCACAATGTTTAAGTGCTCAGCTGCTAACCAAAAGCTTGGTGGTCGGAAGCCACTGTATATGGCACACATCAATGTCACTTCTGTAATCATCTCAAACGACAGATGCATAAGTTACTTATAATGCGACTTAGAAAATTTCTGAACTTAAGACATAGAAAAATAGAATTAAGTGAAGCATGTGAAGAGTGAATTGTGTCTCTCCCAAAAAACATTTGGGTCAACTTGACTGGGCCATTGAGACGGGAGCCCTGGTAGTACAGATGTTAAGCTCTCAGCTGCTAACCAAGAGGTTAGTAGTTCAAACCTACCAGCTATTTCTCAAGAGAAACATAGGACAGTCTGCTTCTGTAAAGATTTTGCTGTTGTTGTTGAGTTGACCTTACAGCTCAAACTGACCTTGTGGTCCAGCGCATTATCCTAGAGAGCTACACAGCCTTGGAGATCCTGTTTGGCAGTTGTACCCTGGACTTAAGGAGCTCTGGTAGTGGAGTGGTTACGAATCGGGCTGCTAACCTCAAAGTCAGCAGTTCAAAACTACCAGCTGTTCTGTGGGAGTAAGAGGAGGCTTTCTGCTCTCGTAAAAATTTACAGCCTCGGAAATCCTGTACAGGGTCACTTGAGTCGGAACCAAATCCATGGCACGCCGCCGCCGCCACCACCGCCACCGCCACCGCCACCGCCACCACCACCCTGGCCTTGGGTTGCTATCAGTCAGAACCAACTTGAAGACAGTAAGACTCTAATCACTGACCTAGCATACTAATTGTTAATCCTGATTCTCTACTTCGAAATGAATGTTGTGAGGTCTGCTTGTCACGACTATCTTGCAATAAACTAAATGAAGTATGCATGATAAACCTAAGCATCTCTACTAGTTTCCAAGACAAAATTCTACATAGTAAGCACCATTGCAAATAGGGTGAGGGTCTGAAAGGACTGGAGGAGTCCCTGGTCCTAGAAAGGAATCAGCCTGCTGGACAAGGGATTGGGAGCGGGTGAGATCCTGACCAGGGTGGGCATGGGATGTGGGACGCTATACTGAGTGGTGCTTGAAGAGGTTACAGGAAAACAGTGCCCCACTTTGATTCATAAGGAAGAGAGAGGGTGCCCATGGAGGCTGCCTTGACAGATGAAGGAGCTGTTCAACT